CCTGGCCCAACGTCGGCAGCGGCATCACTTCTGTCGCCGGTTGAGCGGCGACCTCCGAGGGTGCCTCCTCAGCCTCGCTGATAGCTTGACCCATCGAGGGCACGGGCACCACCACGGGTGGCGCCAGACCGGCCGACGAGGCTATGACGCCAGCTCTACCCTCGCCCAAAATAGGAACGACGTCAGGCGGCGGCCCCCGCCTTGCCTAAAGGGCGATGGTCTTCTTGGGTGCTAGTGCTATGGAAGTGCCCCGTCTGACCCATCTCCTGACGCTACAGAAGAAACAAAAGGCGTGAGTCACTATGAAAAATAGAGAAAAACAGAGGAATCGGCAACTTACGTCGTCACTGTTGGGCGGTGGAGACATTTAGGGGATGAACCCCCAGTTCCCTACTCCCCCTCATCAGGGCGGGACCGTTTTGAGCCTATCCCCGGCTCCCGGGCTGGGGGCTCGCCCCTCCCTCGTATCTGGGGACACGGTGATGGAGCCACCCCCCTCTCTCGGCACCATGGGCGCGGTGGCAGATCCTCCCGCCTCGTCGCTCTTGGGGCGCGGCAATAGGTCCGCTCGCTCCCGTTGGCACCTCAGGCGTGGCGGTAGATCCACCCACCCCTGATGGTGCTAAGGATGGGCCGATGGTCCAGCCCGTCTCCTCCTCCGACCTCATGGCCTCACCTTCCCTTGCGTCGAATGGGAAGGGTCCCTGTATTGACGAGTGGGCACCTGTCAGCATGTCCTCGCCTCCCAGGTCACCCCACTCAATGTTCATGACTACCTCGTCATCTTCCTCATCATCGTTGTCGTTGTCATCACTGTCTGTTTCTTCACCTCGCTCCCATGCCTGTTGCTTCTGTAGCTTCTTCTTCCTCTTGAACTCCTTCGTCTTCCTCTCCCACTCGGCCACGGTATGATTCGCCGCCGCCACAAGTAGGTCCTTCGGCGGTGGAGCCAAGCTATCCATAAAGACGAGCCTCTTTGGCTGGTCTCGCTATCCCAATATCGACATCAAGAGGTCGGAAGTTCAATTAAAAAAAGAGCCATGGGGAAAGAGAACTTACGAAGTCAATGTACCCCAGTTCCGGCCATATTGGAGGGTGCCCCGGCACCGAATACACGAAATCAAGGATGACGCCGGCGTCGTCCTTTGAAGGCTCCATCACCTCCTTGATGCACTGCGCCACTTCGGAGGGGGGAAACACTTCATCGACAAGCGCCGTCCCATTGAGTGACGCTCTGGGCGCCATTAGGTACAGGGGAAAGCGTGCGGCTCATCAGCGGCGCCACCCTCCGCGTATGATCCCCGACCCCTTCACGCCCCTCTCCTTCAGAATTTGGATGGCGGCGAGATGGTCCTAGATTTTCTTCTTGTCCTTATCCGGTACACCCCACTTCCACGGCTCCAGGACCTCTTCGATAATGCGCCCGGAGAACGCTGGCAAGGGGGCGGCTGCGTCGTCCTTGACGTAAAACCAATGTGAATGCCACCCCTTATTGGAGGTCGACAAACACATCGACGGGTATTCGTTTACCCGGTTGTTCCGGAGGTGAATGCCAGCACATCCCACCGGCACGCTCAGCTCTTGTCTCTTCGCTCGCTTCTTCAAGAGGTTGACGGCAAGGAAATACCGCCACGGGTCGAAGTGGGGACTAATCCCCAAGAACCCCTCACACAGGGCGATGAAGGCCGCAATGTGCTGGACCCCATTAGGAGTAAGGTGATGTAGCTCCACCTTGTAATAATACAGTAGCCCCCAAAGGAACTTGTGGGCGGGGATGGCGAATCCCCGCTCGTGAAAGCGAGCGAAGGACACCATGTAGCCTTTGGGTGGCGACGACGTGTCTTCATTGCTGGGTAGCCGCCACTCCTTGGCGAAGGTCCGAGGGCAAGGAGGCCACGGCGAATGAGGCCCTCCAGGCGCTGAAGGGTGATATCGGATCTGCACCATGGCTCCATTGAACGATTGGGAGGGGGGTGGATGCAAGATTGACGGTGGCTGCGATGCGGGTGTGGGAGGGTCAAGCGATTGGCGGCAGAGGTTGTAGATGCAAAGACAAGGAGGCAAAGTACAGAACCCTAGGGGCGAACCCCTTGGTTTTATAGGGGTGACGGATGCGAGAAGGGCAACCGTCCTCTTAGATCTCCGTGCCTACCACGATACACCACCACGTCACGTCGCGTCGCGGATATATGCGCCCACAATCGCTATCCTTTCCCACCAAAGTCGCGCTGGATGTTTTGCCTTCCCGGACAGACTAGGACTCTTTTCCCGTAGAGGGGATATGGGTCAAGAAGCATTTCTCCGGCCCGCCCAGACCTAAGAGTTCAAGGGCTGGCCCAATAGTTTTGACGGCCGTCCCAACGAGGGATGGGCCCGTGAGCGGCGAGAACTCAGACGCACGAGCCTCAAGGGAGTCTCGATCCGCGATCGAGTCTCAACCGGGCGGACCCTGGACGAATCCCCGCGAACAGGATACCAGGGTTCCCTTTAAGCTATCCAGTTGTCGAAACACCAAATTTCATAGCCATACCCGCGATGGGTCCGAATTACCTCCTGGGCGATTCTATCCGAATCACCTAGGGGCTCGAGGGCTACACCCGACGGGTGCGCTTGCGCGCGCCCTCTGGTGAATCGAAACACCCCCAGTGATTCTATCCGAATCACCGGGGCTACACCCATCGGGTGCGCTCGTGCGCACCCTCTGGCAAGTCAAATCACCCCCAGGCGATTCTGTCCAAATCACCCGGGGGCTCGGGGGCTACTGTCGGGGACCGAATACTGGGGTACCTAAGGAGGAGGAGCTAATAACCATCAAACATTGATGTTTTCAAGCAGACAAGAATGCAACTGCACTTCTTGTCCATACGACCGAAGGTTGGCCGCGCCTCGCCCGGCCCCTAAGGGTTGGCTCCGCCTCGCTCGACCCCCGAGGGCTAGACTCCGCCTCGCCCGACGTCTGGGGGCAGATTCCGCCTCGCTCGACGGCTAAGGGCTGGCGCCGCCTCGCCCGACCCCCGAGGGATGGGCTCCGCCTCGCCCGACGTCTGGGGGCAGGCTCCGCCTCGCCCGACGTCTGGGGGCAGATTCCGCCTTGTCCGACAACTGCACCCTACTCCTTCATAATGACGAGCACAGGATAAGACAGGACATTCGAGTCAATCGCAGTACCGAGGACCATACCCTGCGCGCCTGCAGGAAAGTACCGTCAGGATACGACGGGACGGGCACTTTAAGCCCTTCCAGGTATGACAGAGCCCGAACAGTATTGTAGGCGTCGACTTTTGTCTTACAGTGTTGTAGGCGCCGCCATCAGCCATCGGACGCGGATTCTGACACAAACATACGACAACCACTACAATTTAGGAGAGAACTCGCATCATCTACAGTAACGGACGTATAGTCACTTCCCCGTCTACTCCTCGTAGGGTCACGGCTTGGCACCCTGGCACGCCGCACCGTCCGCCGGAGTAGGATGGGACGTGACCACTTGTTGAAACGAAGCCAGAGCACAACCCTATCAGGATCAGTGAACGTGCTATCCCTGGCATGGTCTGCCATGTCAGCAGGGCAGGCTCAAGGGAAAAGGAAGACCCGACACCTTCAAAGGACGTTCTCTACCTTTGGTTTTTTTCTCTTTCTCCTATCTGTAACTCCTGCTACCCCTTGGTCTATAAAAGGGAGGGTAGGACACCCCGTTAAGGGCACGGATCAATTCCACACACAACGCATCACACAAAGCACAGCCAAGTAGCAACCGAGCTTTTGACATCCTTTCGACCTTTCCATCAGAGACTTGGGACATGTCCCTCTCTCGACCGTTTGTACCCTACTACGAACCTTTTTCGGTGCTAATAACACGAGCAGCAGTAGATTGGGCGTAGGGACATTTCGTCCGAACCAGTATAAACCTTGTGTCCTTTAGCACATCATCCGGATCTAACGCGCAATAAATATAAATTTACTAGTTAGAGTTTACTCGAAACACCGACAATGTCGCTGCCTCCATTGACGCTTATTGTTTCGTCATGCAGCTCAGCATGTTCACTTGTTGGTTTCAGCCAGGGCTTATCAGCCATGGTACAGTATTTTTCTCTCACAACAAACCAGCACCCGCCGAATTTATCAGCCCAGAAACCAACCAACGAACAGGCTCACTGTAATTACAACCTTGTTAAATGCTTTCATATATGGCATAACCATGTTCTCTTTTTCTTTATATATATATATATAATCATTACTAGCCTTCGAGTACGAACACCTGTTAATTTCCGTTAGTTTGTTACTAGTAGAGTACATATAGTTTGTTAACGCACAATTCCCTATTGATGGGCATTTTTGGCCAACTTATACAAATACGAAATGCATTGATAATCTCACAACATTAAAATAATCAAGATAATCACATATTAATCGCCCCTGTGTTTCCTTAATGCACACGCGCGCGCGGGTTGCCACTTCTTCTTGCTCCGCAAGTTGGGAGACTGCCGTCACCGAGCGAATCCAAACCCAGCTTCTAGAAACGGACCCTGCTTCAACTTGAAACTCCTCCCCACCCCTACCGGTTTACCCAGTTTGAATTTTGAAACACACGAATATTCCAGACACAAGCCCGAGGGCACTCCCGTCATTTCGCGCTCCCTTCCTCCCGAAGCGAATATGCCCCACACGGCGACCCACCCCGCCACGTGGGCACCTACCGCCCCTGTGGCGGAGATTCCTTGCAAGGAACCACCACCACGAAATTACCGAAACGCCCCTGCGCTGTTCAACTAATACCTTCCCCAATTTCCCCTCGACTCCGTCCGTCCCCAATTTCCCCTTTGCCTTCTCTTCTTCCCGCTCCCGTCCCAAAATCCGCCCGCCGATTAGCTCGCCTGCCCTAGCGGATCGAAGCCCTAGCCCTAGCCGAGGACCGCCCATGGCCGCCGCGGTCGTGCGCTGAGGCGGCGCGGCTCTTTCCATGGGGTGAAGGAGGGCGGCGTATCCCCCGAGGCGTGGGGATGGACCCTAGCTTGAAGGAGGAGGTGATGAAGGCGGTGGAGGAGGCCAAGAGGTCCGCGGCCGCGGTGCCGGCGGCGACGCGGTGCCGGGTGGTGCGGATCATCGTGCACGACGAGGACGCCACCGACTCGTCTTCCAGCGAGGACGAGGAGGAAGAAGAGGCGGGAGAGGAGCGCGGCGCGGCGCATCCGGGCTCGGCGGAGGCGGTGAGCGTGAAGCGCAGCCGCGTGCTGCTCCAGTCCGCCGGGTGCGGCGGCGCGGAGGAGGAGGACGACGAGGACGGGGAGGGGGAGGGCGCGAGGTTCACGGGCGTGCGGCGGCGCCCGTGGGGCCGGTGGGCCGCGGAGATTCGCGACCCGCTGCTCCGCCGCCGCGTCTGGCTCGGCACCTTCGACACCGCTGAGGAGGCCGCCGCGGCGTACGTCGCCGCGCGCCTCCGCATCCGTGGAGGGCCCAAGGCGTCCTCCTCCGGCAACCTGCTCCCGTCCGGGGGTGCTCACGGCGGCTCGCTCCCTCCTCCCGCTGCCGCTGCCGCGCACCGCCCGGCCCTGCCGCCCCGTCCCCCGCCGCCGCCACCGCAGCGGGCGAAGCAGCTGCCGCCGCCAGCGAAGCCACCACCGCAGCGGGCGAAGCAGCTGCCGCCGCCGCCTCTGCTTCCGCCGAAGAAGCAGCTGCAGTACCCGCCACCGCCTCTGCTGCTCCCGCCGAAGAAGCAGCTGTACCCGCCACCGCTTCCCCCCCTCCCGCCGAAGAAGCAGCAGCATCACCACCACCACCACCACCACCACCCGCCCCCGCCTCTGCCGACGCTTCCGCCGAAGAAGCGGCTGGCGCCCCCGCCTCAGCTGCCGGGAAGCAAGAGGCAGTGCATGGCCTCCTCCTCCCTGGCGGAGCCGCCGCGGTTCGTGCCGCTGCCGGTGTGGGCGCTGATGTCCGGCTCCGGGAAGCGCAAGAAGCGGTCCGGCTGCGGCGGGCGCGTCCCTGCCCTCCACACCCCCGCCCCCGCCGCCGAGGAGACCGGGCGCGCCTGAGAGGCCCGAGACGACGCCCTCCCCCTCCCTGCTACTGGTCTCCATCTCCTACCGCTCCTAGATCTTGATGCCGATCTGAATGACCGTCGCTCGTCGTGCCGTGTGCCTGCAATCGATCGATGCTAATGTGAAGAGGCTTTTGTAACCTCTCTCTCTCTCTGATTCATGAACTGATGATTTGTGTACATATGCTGCTGCCTGCTGCTGCTGGAACTGGAATCGCCGCAGCGGGTGATGAACTGATCTTGTAAAACCTGATGAGTTATTATTCATGTCATGTGTAATAAATAAGTATCTGTTGACAATTTTCGATCGGAACAAGCTTGCGCCCTGTTCGTTTGGGTTTGCGGCTGCTGTGGAGATTGCAAGATTGCTGCCACTGTTGTTCCTCTTGTTTTGACGATGGATGGCAGTGAAAGTAACGGCTGCGGTTCCGCTCGCTCCTTCTTTGTTAAAGAAGACTTGGGTGTAGCTGTGAACCATGACGCAGCATCGAGCGGCAGGGCAGAGCGAGCACACGTGCAGGCTTACACTTTTTTTCTGTCAGTGCACGCTCACTGGCAGCAGTACGTACACTTTTTTTCTGTTTGCGTCATTGCGTGCCAGCGGTCAGAAGGGAAAAAGGGCAAATAAAGCAGTTGCCGGTACAACATTACGAGTAGGATCGAGTATACAGCCACTGCTCCTAACTAATTTCAGTACTATATATACTCCCTAATATTTCTCAATAATTATTAATTGCATACGAAGAATTCATGCTTCGCGAGTTCTTCGAAGCTCTTTATTTTTTTTCCTTCCTGACACGTCTTGGCTTGTTCTTTCAAATTGTGTTTATAGTTGTCAATTTGTCTTTGTCGTGCCTAATGAGACTCTAGTCAAACAAATTTATTACATGACCAAGTACCATACGTTTCCTTCCTCGTTCCTCCAAATCAAACAGAATTGCTATCTGCTGCTTGGTTGGCCACTCGTCTTATTAAAAAAATTTGTGCAAACATAGTTAAATTTAAGTCATTTTAAAGAACTTTTATTAATAAAGCAAGTCACGACAAAAGAAATGATATTTTGCACAAATTTTTGAATAAGACGAGTGGTCAAACTTGGTGTCAAAAAAAATCAAACGTCTTATAATTTGGGATGGTGGAAGTATTAAAGTGTCTGCTTTAGTCTTTAAAGTTTACTTTGGGACTCAATTTCGCATCTAAATTGACCATTTTAAGGGTTGAAGACCACTTTAATACTAGTTTAGGGATGAAACCGAATATTGTGGGACAAAAATAACTATTTTTCGGTACCAAATTTCTTGTTAGGACAAAACTTTGTCGTGTCTCCTCCTTGATCCATATATATAGATAAAAAAGAGTAATCCTACATAACAGGCTGAAATGAAATAAAGGTAGGATTTATGGTAAATTGATGATGTGGATATATGGTAGAATACTTGTAGGCATGGACTAGTGGACTACTAGGTGATTAGCTGTAGCTCCTTTTTCTTTCTTTTTTTCCCCTTCTCTTTGGTCCTTTTATTTATTTTCTTTTGGGGTCCTTCTCTTTATGGAAACATTTATTAGCCGTAGTTCTTCTCCCCTACCTGCAGGCAGGCCGCAGCTCTACATCACCCGCTAACCTGTGGGTGCGGTTGGCCGTCCGGCTGGGACTTGACACTTGAGCCGCGTTGCCTTTATCCATTGCCCTGACCAGCACGAAATATCTAGTCCAGCACCAGCTTGGGTTGGGCAACTCGGACGAAACTGGCGTCTTGAGGTTCCAGCTTTTCTGTGTTGGGGTGGGGGTGGGGGGGGGGGCTCGGTACCTGCCAACGCCCGCCGCTCCGCCGCCGCCGACATTCGGTAGCTTCCCTGTAGGGCCATGCGCTGGGGGCCTTCGGGTGGTGTCAATCTGCAGTCATCACCCATTCCGAGGAGGGCGCCGCGTGACTTTTGTACTACTAGCACTGGTACCAGCCATTAGGATGTGGTTCAATTCACTACGAGGATACTACTACTAAACCGTTTGAAGAATATTACAGAGATTATTGTTAACATTAAATGCCATTAGCGTAAATCAAAATTAATTATTGTTAACATGTTTAGCCATTAGCGCTGTATACGCTTGGTTACGTGTGTAAACTCAGATTCAAAACATTGGATCCCCATCACCAATCCGTAGCTCAACGTTTTTTTTTTCCTTTTATTACCAAACATAAACGAAATGCTACATAAAAACATACAAAAAGTACTATGCATGATATTCTCGCTGAAAGAGCCGATTCCGAGCGAATCTCTAAACGCTAGCCTATTCTTATTCGGTTGGCTTTCCATCCTTTCGTGAATAAGTAATCTTGGCCCATGGTTTGTGTGAGAGAAAAATACTATTCCGGCTATGAAATTTATAATCATTTACGATAAGCCACGGTCAAATGAACAGGCTGATGCGCTGGGGGCCTTCGGGTGGTGTCAATCTGCAGTCATCACCCATTCCGAGGAGGGCGCCGCGTGACTTTTGTACTACTAGCACTGGTACCAGCCGTTAGGATGTGGTTCAATTCACTACGAGGATACTACTACTACTCTGTAACCGTGGAAGGATTGAAGGAATATTACAGAGATTATTGTTAACATGTCTAGCCATTAGCGTATATTGAAGGAATATTACAGAGATTATTGTTAACATGTCTAGCCATTAGCGCTGTATACGCTTGGTTACGTGTGTAAACTCAGATTCAAAACATTTGATCCCCATCCACAGAGTCCGTAGCTCAACGTTTTTTTTTTTTTTTTCTGTTTCGAAACATATGTCAACATCTTGGTGCTTCAAGAATGTCATCGTCTCTTTTCCGCAAAAACATAAGGACTAAAAAAAGGAAAAAAGTATGACCGCAGCTGATAAATACTCTCGCCTGAAAGAGACTAGACTCGAGAGTATCTTCACCAGATCTCTTAGGCCCCTTGCCTCACGTCTGGATGGACGGACGCCTCACTCTGCTTACTCCCGCACCAAAAAAATCTTATCCCTCGCTTTCTCCTCTCCATCCTTATCCCTTTCGTGCTCGTGTCTTGCCCCACCTCGACGCGTAGCCATGGCTGCCTCCCTGGCCATCGGCGGCACCCTCACTCACCCTAGCGGCGCCCCTCCCCCCATCTCGACGTCCTCACCCAGTGGGAGCGCCCAACGCCCGTGGATCCGGTGGCCCTCTCCCCCCTGCCAAGACCCATGGAGCACGAGCGAGATCCGTGGTGGTGGCGCGGCGGTGTTGCAGGGGAGTTGACGGCTCTTCCCCCACCCTGGCCCGACGCCCTCTCTCACCACAACGATCGAGCTCCCCCACCCCGGCGGCCATGGCGCTCCCCGCCCCCCTTCCCCACCATCGCCGCCGAGCCAAGCCATGAGCACACAGTTGAAGGCCGTGGTGGTGGTGATGCTCATGGTGATGATCAAGTGCTTGGACTTGGTGAAGAAAGAGAAAACAAAGGCTCAAGGTGCTAGTGTCTTTGTGGTGGTGATCAAGCATTACAGCCGCCGCCGCGGCTCCCACCTCATCAGTCTGGTGTGAATCGACCGGCCTAGGCCTCTCTCCCCCTATGTTGCAAATGTACATTTAAATTGTTTCAGACGTTTCAGAGGCATGTTGCAATCGTTTCATATGGATGTTACAAAAGTAGATCGGGGGATGTTGCACATGCTGCATATATTGCAAGTGTTTCAGAGGTATGTTGCAAGTGTTTGTTCAAACTATTTCATCTGTTTCTAGACATATGTTGCAAGTGTTTTGGTCTGGATGTTACATATATTTTCACACATATGTTGCAAACAGTATGTTCCAAAATGTTTCATCTATTTCATGCAGCAAGTGTTTTCATGTTGTAAGTTGCAAGTGTTCTATATGGATGTTGCATATTTTTCAGACGTATGTTGCAAGTGTTTTATCGGGATGTTGCATATGTTACAATGCCCATACACATATGTTGCAAGCATATGTTGTAAATGTTTCATCTATTTTGGACGTATGTTGCAGCAAATGCTTTACGTTGCAAGTGTTTCATCGGCAAACCTCGGTAAAAAATCATTGTGTTCATCCTTTGATTTCGAGAGGTGGTTCGCTTTTTGTGTTGAGCTACACGACCCCTCTGTGCTTACGAAACTAGAAGCCAAGTGGGCTTGGCTGGTGTGGCTCTTTAGTTAGCGTGGAGCACAAAGTTGTATCCATAGGCGTGGCAGCAGGTGTGGACATGAAGATGCATCCATGCTCGGCTGCTCTCTCTCCCCTTATTCCAGATTGATGCGGCCGGTCAGCAGCAGCATCATGCGCCAGCAGCAACATGCAGGCAGCAGGAGTGCACGGCTAGGCGTGGCCCGTCACTGCTGCTCCTGATGGCAGCGGGTGCGATAATCGCCCTGTTCACTTAGCTTATATGCCGTACTTTTTCAGCCAACGAACAATATTTTTCTCTCACAATAAATCAGCCAATAGTACTTTCAGCCATGGCTTATCAGCCAAGCGAACATGGCAAATTTCCCCCCACAAGCATGCACGGTCAAATCGGGACCCAGCGGCAGAGGCACAGGGTAGGAGCATGCACAGGCGCATCAATCTAGCAAATTATAATAGTGGACAGCAGTGCGGGGCAGTAGCATCATGTCCTGTGGAGGCGGGGGCAATAGGCGTTGGGCGTCTAGACGCGCTGCTGGCGCCGGACGTTCAGGCGCTAGACGTCTCGATCGCTTAAATAGAGAATGTAGCAGTCCAAATAAGTTTCCTGTTACCCTAAATTCTTTAGAGGATCTCCTAAATCGACCACCATCTCTTCTAAAGAAATAGAACTCTCATGGTCCTAAATCAGGGTGAGGTTTTGGTAATCTGCTGAAGCAGAGGTCTCTCATATCCTAAAGTTTTTTTTCGAGACCGTGCCTAGGCACGTATTTCATTAAGAGAAAGTAAAGAAACATTACAAGCTACCTCTACAATGGTAAGCGCCAGGCTTACCAAAGAGGAGGACCAA